CTCTTACGCAGTTCTGACGAAGATTCTGACTCACCAACGTTCTCTAATGTGGGATTTGTTCTTAGGTAAGAACAGAATCGACACACTCAAGAGCACAAAGGTGAGAACAGTTCTGCGCTTTTAGAACACGTCACAAATCTGACGGAGACTTTTTCTTAGGATCTTTCTCAAGAACACATTTAAGAACAAACTTAGGAGGATACTGGAGAACGAGGCCGCATGTCTTTACTAAAGAACCCTTGAAGAACCGTCTTTAAGAGTGCAGTTCCAGCAGCTTGGAGGAAAGTGACCACTGTTGTTGCTTAGCAACCACATGTCAGTGGAATGATGCAGGTATGATGAAAAACCTGTTGAGATATAACAACAATGCTTTTCAACCAATCGGCTTGTGGGGGTGGGGCTGTGTGTTTATTGTGCTGAAACAGACCCGTGTTCACACCGGGGGTATGAAGGTTCTGGATTTCTCAGTGAACGCGTGTGGCTGACTGGACTCTGGGCCGGAGCTCAGCGCTTTAATAACAGGAAAAAAAAGTAAACAGTTCATTCAGAGTAAAAACGCTGATCTGGGGTCTGTTTCCTCTTTTCATCGCTTTCACGGCCTTTTTCTCCGTCCATTTTCATCTCCTGACGCCTCAAAACACTCCTGGCTCCTTTGTGGCTCTACCAGAGAACTTATAGAGAGGAGAATTTCCACTCTGTAATGTCTTCTGGGTTTCTCAAACACTAGAGGGCGCTCCCAAGGGGGTCCAAAATGAATGGGTTAAGATGGAGCATTTGGAAAAATCAGTTTATAAATCTTAAACATTTTTAATGTGTTAGAATTCATTCATTTCCTGAACACAGAACAGCATAAAACATTTTAACACCGCTGTTATATTTTTAAGAGCTTTTAAACTCGAGTTATAGGAGTTTAAAACAGCGCCACATGTACGTTCATGAAGTCTGTGAGCACGAACAGCCAATGAGCTGCTCCGCTTGCCAACCAATCAGCGTTCAGTAGCAGTAATGTTAGCATCCTGCTGCCCAAAACCCGTTTGCTGTAGAATAAAGGAAACATACAGGTGAGTTTTCTGTTTTTTTTAGTGAAATTCATCCTTCAACTTTCTAAAATTAAAGGAAAGTTCTGGTTCAGTGATTAGAAACTATTTTAACTTTTCGTTTTCAGCCGTTGAGCTCCATTTACTCCCATTCATTGAGGACTCGCTTGCTGGCGCCCTCTGCTGTTTGCAGTCCTGTTTTTGATATAACGGGGGAAATAGGAAGTGGCCAGACTCCTCATAAACCAGCTCTGGCGTTACGGCCTAATTTGTCAGGTTTTCTCACACTAGAGGGCGCCAGTGTTCAATGTAGATCTACCAAAACACCAAATAATGCAACTCTGTGGCATTAAAGGGCCCATATCACAGAAAACCACCACTGTGCCCACCAGATATGAGCTGACATGGTGAGTAAACACCGTTAAAACTGCAAAACGTCACGATCACTCCTCAGTCCATACATCACCGCTACCGGAACAAAACCTCACATCTCCAAAAGGTAACTTTACAGGACAAGGAAAAACGTTCCCAATGTTTACTGGAAGTAAATGGAGAAACATTTTTGTCCAAGTAATTGTGGACCATTTCTGTTCATCATGAAATTTTGACACAACATGAAGGGCGACTGCATTTTCTGAATTATGCCAAAAAATGAAAAGCGAGGTTTCGTCCTGACGGCAAGGATATGAAAATCTAAGCTGCAAAAACAACCTGTTTTGCACTCATTGCTGGTGATGTCACAACCAACACATTTGCATATACCCTGGTATTCAGCCTACAGCAGTTTAGCCCCACCCATTCTGTTAAGCCCCATTCACACTGACATTTAGAAGTGTTTACCTCTGGAATTTTGGGCCAAAGAAACTACAAACTACAAGGAAGCCAGTCAGAACAGAACAGAACTAATTTACATATCACTGCTGTCAGAACAAAACCTCATGGAAGCACTTTATCTGGAGGCGTGTTTGACACGATTAATAAATCCTTAGCAGATTATCAGTAACACATCAACATGTTGTTAGTATGTTCCATTACGCAAAACCTAACCTTACCAACCTTCCCCAACACCTAACCCTCACCCTGGCCCTAATCCTAACCCTAACCTCAACCCTGGCCCTAATCCTAACCCTAACCTCAACCCTGGCCCTAATCCTAACCCTAACCTCAACCCTGGCCCTAATCCTAACCCCAACCTTAACCCAGACCCTAACCCTAACCTCAACCCTGGCCCTAATCCTAACCCCAACCTTAACCCAGACCCTAATCCTAACCTCAACCCTGGCCCTAATCCTAACCCTAACCTCAACCCTGGCCCTAATCCTAACCCCAACCTTAACCCAGACCCTAATCCTAACCTCAACCCTGGCCCTAATCCTAACCCTAACCTCAACCCAGACCCAGACCTTAACCTCAACCCTGGCCCTAATCCTAACCCTAACCTCAACCCAGACCCAGACCTTAACCTCAACCCTGGCCCTAATCCTAACCCTAACCTCAACCCAGACCCAGACCTTAACCTTAACCTCAACCCTGGCCCTAATCCTAACCCTAACCTCAACCCAGACCCAGACCTTAACCTCAACCCTGGCCCTAATCCTAACCCTAACCTCAACCCAGACCCAGACCTTAACCTCAACCCTGGCCCTAATCCTAACCCTAACCTCAACCCAGACCCAGACCTTAACCTCAACCCTGGCCCTAATCCTAACCCTAACCTCAACCCAGACCCAGACCTTAACCTCAACCCTGGCCCTAATCCTAACCCTAACCTCAACCCAGACCTTAACCTCAACCCTGGCCCTAATCCTAACCCTAACCTCAACCCAGACCCAGACCTTAACCTCAACCCTGGCCCTAATCCTAACCCTAACCTCAACCCAGACCCAGACCTTAACCTCAACCCTGGCCCTAATCCTAACCCTAACCTCAACCCAGACCTTAACCTCAACCCTGGCCCTAATCCTAACCCTAACCTCAACCCAGACCCAGACCTTAACCTCAACCCTGGCCCTAATCCTAACCCTAACCTCAACCCAGACCCAGACCTTAACCTCAACCCTGGCCCTAATCCTAACCCTAACCTCAACCCAGACCCAGACCTTAACCTCAACCCTGGCCCTAATCCTAACCCTAACCTCAACCCAGACCCAGACCTTAACCTCAACCCTGGCCCTAATCCTAACCCTAACCTCAACCCAGACCCAGACCTTAACCTCAACCCTGGCCCTAATCCTAACCCTCATGTTTTGATGTTAAAGAGTCTGTCGAGTGTTTGTTTCATCTAAAAGGACACTCAAAATAAAATGTCTCCAACCTCGTATCTCCATTTTTCAGTTTGACATCATGTGAAAACGCCTGTCGTCCTTTACATTGTGTGTAAATTTAATAATGAAGGGACCAAAAGAAACGACCCAAAATTACTTGGAAAAACGTCTGGTTCCATTGACTTACATTAAAAGCAGAGTATGTTTTTCCGTCTCATGTAAAGTTACCATTTTGGACATACGAGGTTTTGTTCTGACAGCAGCGACATCAGTCTTAAAAAGGCACAGTAGCAAATTCTCAGAAATAAACAGACGATTATGTAAAACTGAACGACTGTTTAGAGAACATAAAAACCACGTCATAACATCAGAAAACCAAAATATAGGGATTACAACTTAGGACATGTGCCCTTTAAGTTCTCCATAACCACAGCATTGCTGGGTTATTCAGATTTGATGGCTTTTCAGATTTTAATGCATATAGCACATTAAACAGATCAGCATTCTCACTCAAATACACTTCACACACACATCCTGCTCTACTCAAAGCCTGTAGAGGATGCTGGGAGTGTAAAAATGCATTAATCTGAACCGACTGATGGTTTTGGAACGATAAGAATGAATTATAAATCAACTAATATAATATTCAATAAACTACATGCTTACGTTTTGGCCAAAAATAAAAAAAAAACACACATTTGAGCTAATATCTAATACTGCGTAAATAGTCCCTCCACTTACGTTTGTGTGTTCAGTGTTTTATAAAATAAATTCTGAAGTGTACCAAAATAATGAAAATCTAAATCATGAAATTTGAGATGAAGCATCAGACTGTCCTTGTTTCTACACTCATTGTCCATCTTTTCAGCTCCACTGACCGTATAGTTTCACTCTGTAGTTCTACAGTTACAGACTGTAGTCCATCTGTTTCTCTGCATACTTTGTTACCCTGTTCTTCAGTGGTCAGGACCCCCATGGACCCCCACAGAGCAGGTACTATTTGGGTGGTGGATCATTCTCAGCACTGCAGTAACACTGACGTGGTGGTGTGTTAGTGTGTGTTGTGCTGGCACGAGTGGATCAGACACAGCAGTGCTGCTGGAGTTTTTAAACACTGTGTCCACTCACTGTCCACTCTATTAGACACTCCTACCTTGTCGGTCCACCTTGTAGATGTAAAGTCAGAGACGATAGCTCATCTGCTGCTGCACAGTTTGTGTTGGTCATCCTCTAGTCCTTCATCAGTGGTCACAGGACGCTGTTGGCTGGATGTTTTTGGTTGGTGGACTATTCTCAGTCCAGCAGTGACACTGAGGTGTTTAAAAACTCCAGCAGCACTGCTGTCTGATCCACTCAGACCAGCACAACACACACTAACACACCACCACCACATCAGTGTTACTGCAGTGCTGAGAATGATCCACCACCCAAATAGTACCTGCTCTGTGGGGGTCCATGGGGGTCCTGACCTCTGAAGAACAGGGAGACAAAGTATGCAGAGAAACAGACTGACTACAGTCTGTAACTGTAGAACTACAGAGTGAAACTATATGGTCAGTGGAGCTGATAAAGTGGACAATGAGTGTAGAAACAAGGAGTTGGACTTGAAGTGGCCGGTCAGTGTGAACCCCTACATGGCATCTGAGTGATGTGCACTGATTAACTCAGCCCAGTTTCCACAGTAAGAGAAGGCAGTCGATTCTCGAAGGAGGTTTTATTGTATGAGTGAGCAGAAAGGTTGGCTTTAAACTGATCAGATTGAAGAGAAAAGAGAAAAATAGTTATGTTTGGATGGTTGGAGCATCTATAAAGACATAAAGGCCTGTTCAGATCACTCTACTTATCTGGAGGCTGTGAGTTGGCAACTGTTTTTGAATTTGAGAGGAAAGGAAATCACAGAAAAAAAAGGAAGAAAACAAGAAAAAGAACAGAAGTAAACGTCACCAACCTGAACGGGAGTGAAGAAAACAAACCAAACATTCCTTACAAGCAAATGAAAAACACAAATCTTCTGAGACATCAACTGAAAAACGTCTACATAAATCCTCGAAAACACACAACTTCATCGTTTGTGCGCAAAAAGAGAACGGGGGGCAAAAGCTGATCAAATGTGACCGTGTTAAAAAGCTCGAATCCTACAAATCCTTCTCCCTTTCGTTGTGTAACGATGGCGCTTCCAGGCGATCCATTTCAGTCTGACACTTTAGGCTGATCAGTTCTATTAGGGTTCCACTGGGGCTGATTTGTAACAAGGCAATAAAATGTTCTACATTTGCCCTCCAGCGCCTTCTTTCTCTGCACCAACCACGACGGGTTTTAAATACAGTTCCAAACACTCCAGAGTTCGAAGGCTGATTTCGATCTCACACTTACAAAAGGACGTTTAGTTGACTCATCAGTTCCAGTCTGTCGGCGAATGTGTCCTGGCTCACTCCTCATCGTTTAAACGACTCCTAGAGTGGTCAGCCTGGTTTTTAAGAGGTCACTGTCGAGGAGCTGGGCCTTTGTGAAACACGTAGATCGGCCGCTGAAAACCTGCATTAAAAAACAAAAACAAGGTTTGGGAGGGTAGCATCGACTCACAATGCAAATAGTCCTGGGTGATATGAACTCAAATCAATATCACGATTAGCTGAATGTTAACTAATGTGTTGAGATAAAGAAACATGCACTACTTGTGGAACAGCTATCAGTTTCAATGAGCTATTATAATATAAAACCCACTTTAGGGGACCTAAAGGGGCTTCTCTGCTTTTTTTCTTTCCTTTAGCATCTTCAACCAAGTTTCCCTCTGCACTCCACCAAAACACCACCACGCTTCAGACTCCGTCCTCTTAGGAGGCTGAGAAATCTCGGGAGCGCCCACCATGTTTACACTGACACAAAACAAACCGAATGCTGCGCCTGCGTCTGGGAGACCAGTACTAACTTTGGCTGATGCTGATGAGTTTTTAAAGTGCGGTAAATCAACCACAATATTAATCATTCAAATGTGAAACAATAACAGCAGCCATCTGGAATCTTAGTGTAGTTTACTGTGAAACCAGTATCTGTCCCATCACTACAGTAATGTCATTTAAAAGGTACTGGTCCTATACGGCCTCTTACACTTTTTCTCTGCGTTTCTGTTCAATATCTTTTTTTTCGAAGCTGTTGTCCAGTTTGGGGGTGGCCTATGCGCAAAACAGCGCTGTCAGTTTGATTGTGCTTTACGATTGGTCAACAACATTGGTTTGACACTGAAAAGCCCCAAACAAGTGGCTGCCTGGGGCGCTTCAGTCTGGCGACAGACATCACGCAGCCGTGGCAGTTAGGGCGTTAAATGCTTGTCGTTCCTTGTTAGATTAACAGCCTTGTTAGTATCAATTGCTGTCATTTAGTTACATGTTAATCTCCTGAACTATTTTCTATATTTACTGAAAAGTTACCTTAACTCTGTAGATCCATTATACAAGCTTTGATATGAATGTTAACTGAGACGTGCAGGAGTTATGCTATCATTTTAATCCCTTCCCTCTTTTTCTCTACGAAGGTGGGGAAGGTGACCCTTTTATTTCTCTGTTTTGGTTGGGGGAAGGAAGCTTTGTGGGCGGTTGTTCTTTTTGTTTGTTGTTTTGGCTTTAGCCCACCCTGACGTTACATCTCACGCTGTAGTGGCTAAATCTAAATCCATGTAAACTTCAAAAGGGTGCAACTTTCTGGCAACAGAAAAAGAAAAAAAGTAAATATAACTGCTTGGCTTTAGGACAGACGCTATTACAGAACAGTTCTAAAGTTCATAATCTCATCATGAACTCCAGGTAAGAAAACAGCATCACACAAACATCCTAACTAGACCAAACCTCCTAAATCCTGTCCTAACTTTAGGATGAACCCCAACAGGGTCCTCACTTCTGTTTAAGGTCCGTTTCTATGGTTTTTAGGCAGCTGAGTCAGCAGCATAGTTCACTACCAGCATAATGAGCTCCATTTATCTCTACTGTAAAACGCTGCTTTCACTGTGAGATGATTTTCTTTTCTAACTCTGCGTTTTAAAGATCTCAGACGCTGCAGACTCGATCTCCACCGCCCCTCTGATCACCTTCGTGTGTTAATGTTGATGATGAAATATTACAGTGATGGTGGTGAATAATGAGACAGAGCTGAACGTGTGTCTGTTTATTAGGAGGAGTAACGTTAGCGCGCTCGGCTAAAGCGTTTGGGAAATGGAGACAAACTGGGGAGCGGCGACACTCTGATAAACAGCAGGGGGCGCTCTCATAGCATTCACAACTTAGTTTATCAATTTAGTTTGAGCTTTTTTGTACATCAGTAACGGTAGCTAACTGCCTGGCTAACTAGCTTAAGGTTACTTTGATTACGTGTTTACCTTTCAGCTGTGCGCGTGTGGTCGGTTGCTAGGTAACAGACAACAGTTGACAACTTCAATCATGTAAGTTAAGATTTCCTAACTTGAGATAAGAAAAGAAGCTGTAAGATAAGATAAGATTCCTAAATTAAGGTCAGATTTGCTTCTGTAATATGAATGTTAATCTTGTCTTAACTTAAGGTCTGACAGGTCAAGATAAGATAAGTTTCTGTAATGCAGCCTCCTTATGTTATTTTACCCATGCTGCTCTCTCAGTTCATACTGCCTATATTTGCATTCTCTCCACTCACTCTATTTATGTATATTATATTTATATTATATTCTACTGTCCTTAATTGCACATATTGTAACCACAGCATAGCTTATCATGGTCACTTTCCTGCACGTTATCTGTAAATAATACTGTATTTTGCACTTCTGGTTAGATGCTAACTGCATTTCATTGGCTCTGTGCCTGCAGTCTGCACAATGGCAGAGATTGAACCCAATCTACATAATCTCCGAGACCCTCCTAGACTAGAGTGGGTTATGACAGTCCTACCTTGTACAGCACTGACAGACGTCTACTCCGAATGGCTGAAGACTGCGACTGTATTAACCATTTCTTCTCTGCCGAGCTCACTGAAGCCCAATCTGAATGTGTGTAAACAAACGTTTACACACTCGGCTGTACCGAGCAGGTGGATGACGTGTCCAGTCAGTGAGAGACTGACAGCAGACTGAACCAAAACACTGTCAATAATGGTGAAATAGTGTTTGAGGCTTTAAATGTTTTTAAATGAAAATGGGGTCCATGTGCTTTAAGAAGTGCCTCTTTTTTCCCTGTTACTGCTGAGAAAGAAAGAAAATAAATGCCGCTGTGCTTCACACCTCCACGCTAATGTGATATCAGTGACTGGGTATCATCTCTGAGCCCTGACTCTGGGACTTTTAATAAAAAAGCAATATGAAACCCAGAGGCTGAAAGTGAAGGCACGGTTTGCTAATTGCTGCTATGTTGGTGCCAAGCTTTGTTACACCAGATAGAATAAAGACTGCTGATGAAGTTAACCCTAGGGTACTCTGGGGTAATTGTTTGGTATTTGGGTCAATTACAATTGCAATTATATTTACATGAGACAGTCACACATGCCATATGTTGTGATTCTTAGAAGCTACTCAGATATGCCATTATTTCACACATAAATACTAACAGAAATTTGATCTTTATTAATTTGGCTAATTTTTAATCAAAAATTTACCTAGCGCCTGCAAAATTTTGTAATTTTTTGTTTATAGAGCTCTTAAAATGAGTGTCACCTCAAATACCTTTTCAGAAATTGTTAGTCCGGAGTGTCTGAGAGCTGAAAGTGCAAGAATTCTGATAGTGAAAAACCAATTAGCATAAGGAGGCGATGATTTTCTGTCCTCTTGGATTCATGCTGAGTGCTGAAACTCTGATGCACAGCAAGACAGGCTTTATTTTTAATTACAAATTGAGCTGCATATTTAATATCAGATATTTTTCATACTCAATCAACATAAACTGAAAGACAGAGCTAAATATTATTAAGTTTCATTAGTTTAATTAAACACTGCAGTGTCAGTGAAAGGCTGGCCGCTCATGATTAAACTACAATATTAACCCCACACAGTCCCGTCAATCAAGACGCTATCACAGTGGGAAGATCAGTCAAAATAGAGTTCAACAGGTATTGTGCACCTTAGCTTTAGTAGCACACGGGTTTACCAACATCAACAACGATGGCTTTAGGAGCGCGCCGGTTAAGCAACAGAACCCGAGAGGGAGTGTGTTATCACAAAATAACATCATGGCTGTGATTTGGTCGCCGTAGATCATCACAGCCGTGATGTTATTGGTGATAACACACTCCGAGTGTTCTGTCGCTTTAATACAACAGTTAAATAAATAAAGTAATAAATTAATAAACTGGGCCGTGAACGCGGCGTTTAATATGTTTTAATGTTCGCAGTTCCTTCACCAAATTAGAGTTCCTTAACGAGCAGCTTGTTGCTACGCCACAGTAACGAGCTCCACCCACTCGCTGCACAGCCGGCAGTTCGTTCTCCAGCTCCTTACACTAAATTCCCAAACTGTCATCAGCACTGAGCAGCTTTTCAGTCGGCAGCTGTGACAGAAGAACAGCTAAACAACCTGGAATCAGCCAGAAATGAACCCAATACCATTCGCCAAACGTGTAGTCTGATCTTCAGAGTCTGACCAAATCGGACTGAGCCATAAAACTGACTCTATCAATATCTTGACAATATCTTGACAATATCAAGTTCAGCTCAGTTTTGTCAATTTTTGCCAAATCAATATTAATGTTTTGTTCCAGCCAGTCTGTAAAGCATCTTACAGCCCATTTAGTTTGGCGTTCCCTCCGTTATATAATCCTATCCCACTTTCTGAGTGCAATATTCTTGAAATAGGGTAATTTTGGACAGTACCTGTCTCAAACTGCCGCTCTGTAATGGTACTAAATGTTGACTGCCCCAAAATGGCAGCGCCGTTGACGTGCCTGGCTGGACCCAACGCGGCATCTAGGTATGTATATCTATGGGCTAAAACCGTCTGAATAATCTGCTCCACTGACGACGTTTCATTCGGCACTTCGGCTCAACTCTGCTCTGACTGTTCGAGCAACGTTCGCCCACTTCCTGTAATCATTTCAAATCAAAAGCCCTTCTGGAATTGCGACTTCATGACATTCCATAAAATTCTGATGCCATGGCAATAATTTTGCAGTGGCAGGTCACTGAACACGGCCACATCTGTAACCAAGACTGGACGTTAAAACAGTCTTGGTTATAATTATTAATACATTTTAATTGGTTAATGAATACATTTAATACATTAATATATTTTATCGGACTCGCTCCAGTGATCGGATCAGCGTTCAGGTGCTGAGAGCTTTTACTGAACTGTGAAAACCTGCTTTTAGCTGCAGAGCAACTTTTTCACATTTTAAACTCACCCTGGCGCCGTTTTATTTGATTCTAATTAACTTTTAATTTGATTTTAGTATGTTTTGGTTATTGTGACATTTATTTTTAACGTTTCCTTTGTTTTTACTGAAAAATTAATATTACTTTTATTATTTGTTAGTTGCATTTTTTTTATACTTTTACCTTGAGCTTTTTAATTGTGATTATTAATATATTTTATCCCTATTTGATCTGTTATTTCTTATTTTATTTTTGTAATTTTAACAATTTGGTCTAATCCGCTTTTTTAAACTACTAAGTTTACTATTATGATCATTATTATGACTTTTTAGCATTTGATGTTTTTAACACTCATTTTTTCAATCCCTGCACAGCTACATCGTAAACGAGGGTCGTCCTCAATGCCCTCGGAGTTTAAATAAGGGTTGATTGAGATCTGCTGACCTCTGGATAAATTGTTGGGGGTCCCAATGAGCTCGTAGCTGGAGAAGCCCACCTCACTGGTCAGATAGGAGGAAAACTGCTCTGGCTTGAAGCAGATACTATAGTAGTTCTTGGAGATGGACTCCTACAAAAAAAAAACAACAAAAAGACAGACATTGAAACGTAGCATGTATTAGGTGCATGTAAATGAAAATATTATATTTGAGAGTTTTCTTAACCTTTACGATGGACATACGCTTGTCTTAGGCTGTAAGAGTCGACACAGTGAGCATCTAAATGTATCAATTTATCTACTCCAGCCAATCCAAGTCTCACAATTATTGTATTTTCCAAAGAGGATTGTTTTTCCTGTTGGCTGTTTCTCCCACTATCACCTCTAGTTTCTTCCACTACCACCTCTGTTTGCTAAAAACACTTGATGTGTTTCCTTCGTTTTGCTCCTCTGAGCAGACTAAACTAAATAACAGAAATCACAGTGAATACAAATTCAAAATGTATCTTGCGTCATTTACAGTATAGGACAGAATGCAACGCAGCATACTTAAGAAAACAATGAAGATTTTCTTAAGAAAACCTTAAGAAAATAATTAAGATTATCTTAAGAGAACAGTGTTTTTTTTTGTTTTTTTTTTTTAAGTTTTTGTGAATCCGGCCCCTCTATCCGGTTCTGCGTGTGTTTACCGTGAGCTTTTTCCTCTTGCTGTAGGAGTGCCACGGCTGCGGCTCGAGGATGAAGAGGCCGCCGGGTCGCAGGTGGCGGTAGACGCGCTGAAAGAGCCGCTTCAGTCCCGCGTCGCCCCAGTTCAGGTGAACCCACTTAGTTACGCTCAAACACAGAATCACATCAAACTCCTCATGCTGAGTCAGCAGCAGCGCATCACTGTCTAACACGTAGTTACCCTAGAGAGAGAGAGAGAGAGAGAGAGAAGGGAAAAAAGACAGATGTGAGAGAGGAAGAAGATAGAGTGTAAAAGAGACAAAGAACAAAAGAGAAGAAAAGGAATGTATGAGATGAAAGGGAAAGAGGAAAAGATGAAAATGAGGAAAAATGGGAAAAAAGAAAACATTTGTATAATTTTATACATATTACACAACTGAACACACAGACACACACACACACACACACACACACACAGCAGTAGTGGCAGTGTGAGGTGGTGGTGTCTTATACATGTTCTTTCTCAGTGTGCAGTGAAGAACCACGACTGTTTCTCGTCTGCTCTGTTCTTTAGAGAACACTGTTAATGTTCTGCCTCCTTTTCTGACCGACTGCATAAACAAAACAGTAACACTCCAGTGAAGCTCAGCGACTCCGACACACCCAGCGCCTAAACACACCAACACAACCTGAGAGCGCAGGAGAGTCAGAGTTACACTGAACACACACACACACACACACACACACACACACACACACACAGAGCTATCACAGCAGCATGCTAAGCTAAGCTAACATGCTACGCTAAACCCTCCTGCTGCTGTGTGGGAGTCGGCATGAGATTAAAGCTTATCTACAGAAACAGGATACAGCAGAGGCTAGGCTAACAACTAGCGTCCAGCACACTGCAGAATGTGATCAGACAGGTATCACCACACACACGTTTATACAGAGCATGAGGACGTACACCGTATGAATTTTATAAACATTAGTACCTACATTTAATAAATTATGTCCTGCATCTTGTGTGTATACATACACACACACACACAATATGAATGATAAACTCGAATGTATACACAGAGAGAACCTATATGTAATGAAAATATATCCCATATGTAAATAACTATACATACTATTATGCCAACAACAACAACACTGTGCAAAGAAAAACGTCCAGATTTGCTGATTTTTATTTTTCTACATCATTTGAACTCGGCATTTGTTCTTTACATTGTGTAATAATTTCATGATGAATGGACCAATAGAAACGCTCCAAAATCACTTGGAAAAAGCTCTTATTTTAAAAATAACTTCATTTAATTTTCTTTAACAGTCAAAATGTTTTTGCCTTCTCATGTAAAGTTACTATTTCCAAAAAACCATTACTTTATTTGGGCAGCGACAATATGCATGTATAAATTTTTACAAGTACCCACATGTAATAATAATAATAATAATAATAATAATAATAATAATATCAAACCATAAGTAATATACAGATTAGCTTGTATACATGTGTACACATTCATGTAAGTATTTATACAAATACCTACATGTAGTAATAATTTGTAATAAAAAATAAACCATTTGTAAAGTAATATGCAAATTAACTTGCGTTTTTTTTTTTGAAAAAGCACTTTACAAAGTCAGGGCCACGGAATAAACCTAGTTCTCCCTCCTCAGTCAGTCCTAAACGCCACAGGACTTTTACAGAGGAAAATGAGTGTTTAACGCCAAATTTACCGCGATAATGGTAAATGTTGTCATACTGCCCACCCTAATCCCCCCGGTCACTTATGCCAACAGTGAGGACTGTCCAACAGAAACGCCAGTGACTTATCCTCCTATAGGACAGGCTGGACTTTAGGCTCAGCTTATCTGGCTAACAGAAATCCTGCTTTACCACCACCCCCCGACCCCCCCCGACCCCCCACCTAACCAAGCTCACAGAGACCAACTGAACAGCAGGTTTTGATGGAGCACCTGAGGGAGACCTTTCAGGATAGCCAGTGTGTAGGTAACTTGCCATCTCACACACACACACACACACACACACACACACACACACACACACACACACACTTCTACATTTAAGTCCAGAAAAATAAATTGCTTGCCAAAAAAAGTATTCATTTCCCTTTTATACACACTGTATGACACCGACCCATAAACTAGGACTAAAGTGCATCACAGTTAAAGCCGGTTTCTGAATTTAGTCCCTGTTTATAGACGCAGTGAGTCACAGAGTCATAAACCACACAATCAAGTCTTTTATGCTGTTGCAGAAACAGTGCAATATAGAGCGTCAGCATTTTGTAGCGTGGTGTGAAATCTCAAAAACTTTAATCCCTATTCAGTTCACTAACGAATACCCACAATGCATTGCAAATTTCAGTGTACAGTTGATTGTGTACACTACAAATTCCAATGTAACTGTGGCTTATCAAACCAGTAGAAGAACCTGAGTGAGATGCGTCCAGAGCCGGGTTATGAGGAGCCTGGCCACTTCCTATTTCCTTCGTTATATCAAAAACAGGACTGCAAACAGCAGAGGGCGCCCACGAGCGAGTCCTCAATGAATGGGAGTGAATGGACCTCAGCTAAAAACGAAAAGTTAAATAGTTTCTAATCACTGAACCAGAACTTTCCTTTAATTTTAGAGAGTAGAAGGATGGATTTCACTAAAAAAAACAAAGAAAACTCATCTGTATGTTTCCTTTATTCTACAGCAAACGGGTTTTGGGCAGCAGGTTGCTAACATTACTGCTAGTGAGTGCTGATTGGTTGGCGAGCGGAGCAGCTCATTGGCTGTTTGTGCTCACGGACATCCTGAACATACATGAGGCGCCGTTTTAAACTCCTATAACTCGAGTTTAAAAGCTCTTAAAAATATAACAGCAGTGTTAAAATGTTTTATGCTGCTCTGTGTTCGGGAAATTATTTATTCTTTTACAATAAAAATGTTTCAGCATTTATAAACTATGATTTTACTCAAATGCTCCATCTTAACCCATTCATTTTGGATTCGCTTGGGAGCGCCCTCTAGTGTTTGAGACACCCAGAAGACATTACAGAGTGTAATTCTCCTCTCTACAAGTTCTCTAACACATGTCCTCAGAGCGGCGACACGCACAGACAGCAGAGGGCGCCACACTGAAATTATCTACAAATGTAAGTCAATATTAGTCGAACTACTGAAAATAATGCTTATATTAGCAAACAAACAATGCATACTTTACAATAAACAGCTTTACTGAGAGATCAACTTTAGGAGGCACAATTTGACTAAATTTATGACGGCTGGTCAGTTATTTACTCGCTCATCCTGACGTTTTACCTCCGCGTCCTCTGATGGTCAAAGTCGCTGCAAAAATATCTACCTATAAGGCTGCAGGCTGAGGTGACAGCAGATCCTAAGACATTCACATTTTCTTGGTGTTAGAAGATTAAAACACCCCGGAGGCCGATTTCTGAATTAAACGCTCACCAGGAGAAATGAGGAGCTGAACATCAGCATTAGATGATGTTCTGGAGATAAATGAGAAAATGAAAGATCTCCTTCCGCTTTGGCAGAGACTAAAAATGTCTGAGATGCAGAAGAGAGCTTTATAGATTAAAAATATAATAATAATAATAATAATAATAATAATACTACATGCAGTTGTTTGTTATGTAATACTTGAACAGTGAGTAGCAAAATGGACCCAGGGAACCTCATATCACGGGAAACCTGTTGGCTACGACACACAACAAAAAGGGTTCTTCTACTGTTACAACATCAAGCATGTAATAACAGAAGAACCCGTTTGGGTGCTATACAGAACCATCTACAGCACATCCTCCATCAGTGTGAAGAACCATTTCATGATGCAATCATGCAGTGTGCCTATCTAGAACCCTTGAAGAACCATCATTTTTAAGTGTGCACATTAGTCCCATAGCTCCGGTGCTAAACTAATGAAGACAGGGTTCCTCAGGAGATCCTTTAGTAAAGACAGTAGTTCTATATAGAATTATGAACACAAAGTACCCTTTGCATGATTAAAGGGTTCTTTGCATCATGAAACGTTCTTCAAATTGATGGAGTATTTGTTGTGTATGGTTCTATATAACACCAAAAGGTTCTTCTACTGCTGCGATGTCAAGCATGTAATGATAAAAGAACCCGTTTGGGTGCTATACAGAACTGTCTACAGCACATTCTCCACCAATCTGAAAAACCATTTTATGATGCAAAGAACCCTTTAATCCTGCAAAGTGCTCTTTGAGTGTTCATGGTTCTATACAGAACCACTGAAGAACCCTCATTTTTAAGTGTGTACATTAGCCCCGTAGCTCCAGCACTAAAACTAAAGAAGCAAACTAAACACGGTTCTTCAAGGTTTTTAAGACAGTGCTTCTGTATAGAACCATGAACACTCGAAGAACCCTTTGCATGATTAAAGGGTTCCTTACATCGAAAGTGTTCTTCAAATTGATGGAGAATGTGTTGCATATGGTTCTATATAGCACCAAAAGGGTTCTTCTACTGTTACGATGTCAAGCTTGTAATAATGGGGGGAAAAAAACAAAAAAAACAAAAAAAAAAAAAAACCTTTTGGTTCTATATAGAACCATTTTCAAAAAGGTGCTACATGGTACCATATACAGCACATTCTCCATTAATCTGAAGAACCGTTTCATGATGCAAACCCTTTAATCACGCAAAGGATTCCTTGAGTATTCACGGTTCTATACAGAACCCTTGAAGAACCATCATTTTTAAGTGTGTACATTAGTCTCACTGCTCCAGTGCTGGAACTAAAGTAGCACACTTAAGACACGGTTCTTCAAAGGGTCTCAAGTAAAGATAATTGTTCTATATAGAACCATAAACACTCAAAGAACCCTTTGTATAATTAAGCGTTCTTGGCATCATGCAAGTGTTCTTCAAATTGATGGAGAACGTGTAAAGGGTTTATATATAGCACCAAAAATTGTTCTGTTTGGGTGCTATACAGAACTACCTACAGCACATTCTGCATCAATCTGAAGAACCACTTCATGATGCAAAGAACCCTTTAATCCTGCAAAGGGTTCTTTGAGCGTTCATGGTTCTATATAGAACCCCTGAAGAACCCTCATTTTTCAGTGTGTACGTTAGCCCTGTAGCTCCAGCGCGAAAACTAAAGAAGCAAACTTCACTCCACTCAATGTGATGTTAGTATGGATGTCACAAGCATTGGGAGATGAAAGCGAAGGTCCAGCCAAGCATATAAGCTGTCATGTCTGTTTATCTATGTATCCATACCCAAGTCTGCGTATATAGATAACGGAGATATACAGTGTCAAACCACTTAAGTCTATTAGAACAACTCGACAGCTCCACACGCTCTGAGGAGAGTGTGATGAGCTTTTGCTAGCTGGTGGAGTCTGATCAGAGGTAGGGCTGAACAATTTTAGCAAAATAATCACAATAGTTCTTCACTTTTAATGGAAGTAAATGGAAGTTATTTTTTTGGGGAAGTCATTTTGGACCATTTCTGTTGACTGACCTTTTCAAACTACACAGATCAGGCATAACATTATGACCACCTCCTTGTTTCTACGCTCATTGTCCATTTTATCAGCTCCACTTACTATATAGGTGCACTTTGTAGTTCTACAGTTACAGACTGTAGTCCATCTGTTTCTCTGATACTTTGTTAGCCCCCTTTTACCCTGTTCTTCAGTGGTCAGGACCCCCATGGACCCCCACAGAGCAGGTACTATTGGGGTGGTGGATCATTCTCAGCACTGCAGTAACACTGACGTGGTGGTGGTGTGTTAGTGTGTGTTGTGTTGGTCTGAGTGGATCAGACACAGCAGTGCTGCTGGAGTTTTTAAACACCTCAGTGTCACTGCTGGACTGAGAATAGTCCACCAACCAAAAATATCCAGACAACAGTGTCCTGTGGACAGCGTCCTGTGACCACTGATGAAGGACTAGAGGATGACCAACACAAACTGTGCAGCAGCAGATGAGCTATCGTCTCTGACTTTACATCTACAAGGTGGACCGACAAGGTAGGAGTGTCTAATAGAGTGGACAGTGAGTGGACACAGTGTTTGTAACTGTAGAACTAAAGTGCACCTATATAGTAAGTGGAGCTGATAAAATGGACAATGAGTGTAGAAACAAGAAGGTGGTCATAAAGTTATGCCTGATCGGTGTGTATCAAAAAAAAAATGCCTAAATGGAAATACAACAGCAACAACACTATTATTGTGGCCTAATTTATGAAGATAGCGATATACCCTCGTACTGTCCAGCCCTAAATATGAGCTTCCATTGCTTGTTAGCTACAATAGCCTTGTAGCTCCAGTAAAAGCTTAAGAACTTCAACCACTGGTTCATTTCCACCAAAACTATGGCTTTAAGCTTCCCAAGACTACAGTAAGTGTTACACAGGAAACACAAACCCTTTCTCCATTTACCTTGACGAACGTGACGTTGGCAGGGAAGTCCCCCGGCGGCAGGGTGGGTGTTTCAGGGAGCGGAGGGGCAGCAATGGGTCCTCTGGAGATGCGGAGAGAGACGGGGAACAGATGATTTCCATTGGAGGAGAAAAAAGGTGCTTTTCTTTCGTCCGTCCTCACTGCATCCCTTTCTCCTGCTGTTTCTTTGGCCGTGTCGTCTCCTCGGTCCACGGCGATGTCGCTTTTCTCTTCTCTCTGTTTACTTCCAGCCTCTTGAGCCGTTCCCTTCACATCCGCTGGCTCTTCTTCCGTCTTCACCCGCTCATTTACACCATCCTTTCCTCTCTGCTTCTCCTCCTCTGAGGCTCCTGGCCTGTCCGTTTTCTCCTCAGGCACTGCACTTTCCTTTTTGTCCACCGACACCTCCATCTCCTCCTCCTTGTTCGCTCCATCCTTTTCCCTCTCCTTTCCTTCCTCCAACTTCTCCTTCGCTCCACCTCCTGAACGTGCCTTAAGCACCTGCATCTCGGAGAGGTAATAGCGGATATTCTGCTTTGCTGCGTGGATCAGAGAGCCGTCTATGTCCAAACCCACGATTCGTGAAGGCTGCCAGTTCTTGGCTATCGTGAGGGTGATGCGGCCTGTGTTGCAGCCCAAGTCTAGCACTTCTTTCCCTTTAAACCACTCAGGCTTGAGAGTGTGCAGCCGAGGATCTTCTGTAGAACCCGGGTTCCTATAACCGTAGTATTTGTCATAGTTGCCATATTGAAACTTCTTTTTCTGCTGCTGTCGTTGTGGCTGCTGGTTCTTGTTCTGCTGTTGGTGTTGCTGGATGGGTTTCTGTTGGTTCCTCTGTTGCCTCCTGTGGTTTGGGTGCTGTTGTTGGCCCTGGGGGCCCATTCCTTGGGCACGATTGGGCTGAGGCTGCCTTCCTGATCCAGATCCAGAAGCTGGAGCTTTGTTCTTGTCCCAGCAGGGGGCACCAAAGTTCTCGGACTTGCTGGTGGTGCGTTTGCGTTTACGTTGCCGGTGGGTGGTAGGTGTGACAGTCGTGGAAGGTGTGGCGTTTTCCGACACAACTGGCTTCTCATCCTTTTCTTCTCGGCCAGCTGTGGAGTTTGGCCCACTAGGACACTGAGCTTCCTGGGCTGGAACGGCGTTGGACTCCAAAACGTCCTCAGTCGCAGCCTCGGAGGCCAAAGGAGGCCCTGAGGACACTAACGCCAACTCTGTCTGCGACGCTGAACACACTTTTCCTTTCTCAGAATCAGAAACGTCAAACTGGGTCACCGTTCCTTCACTTCCTCTCCCAGTTCCTCCCAATCCTGCCGCTCCACCGTGATGTCTGTTTCGGTGTCGCCTCCTACCACTTCCACCGCTCTTTAATGGAGTTAAAAGAAGTCCCCCGTCACCAGCTGTGCAGCAGTTCAGGTTTAGCGGGTCAGTTATGTCTCTTGGGATCAGGATTTCTACAGGATCTCTGCTTTTGGCCGGCAGGGGCGAAGATTTCGGTGTCTCGGCATTTAGCGCTCGGTTCACCTCCTCGTCTAATAAGCTGTTGAGGTTTAGCGGGTCGAAGATGTTCCCTCCCAGGAGGAAATTGGTAGGCAGGACCGACTCGCTCTCCGAGGTGGCTCGCCGTCGGCGTTTGCCGAAGATGGGGTGTTTGAAGCCGCTGTTCATCGTGCTGCGACGCTTGTTTAGCCTCTGTTGAGGTTTAGGGAGCTGGACACCATTCTGGTTCTGGGTGGTGAGATCAAGGGCAGCCTGGCTGGGGACGAAGGCCGTTTTGTTGTCTCCGCGCTCACCAAGGTTACAGGCCTCATCCTCCTTGGTGCTGTGTTGGACTGTCGTCTCCGAGGGTTGCTGAGGGTCTTCAGTGCGTTTATCATGAAGCAGAGAGTGCTGTTGGGGTGGTGGGGGTAAGGAGGCGCCCCCTGGCCGCTCACTGGGTAATACAGTCTCTTTATCAACAGACATCTCTATCATCTTCCAGTGGGTTTAGTGCCAGCTGGTACTGAAAGATCAGGCATTGATCTGAAGGACCTGAAACATTCAGAAAAAAAAAAAAAATTACATCAAAAACAGAGCACAAACATTACACAAACATGTACACTCCTAAAAATATATTAAGAATCTATATAGTTCTATATGGAACCATTTATATGCTTAAACAGTTCTTTACATGGTGAAATTGTTCATCAGATTGATGAAGAATGCGTTGTATATGGCTCAATATAGAACCATATTGACAATGTTTCTATATAGCATCAAAAAGGGTTCTTCTAATGTTACTTTAGCTACCTAGCTTATAACAGCAGAACTGTTTTCAAAAAGGTTCTTTATAGAAGCATTTACAACACATAATCCATCATTTTGAAGAGCCATTTCACCACACAAAGAACTGCTTCAGCATTTAAATGGTTTTGTATAGAATTCCTGGTTCTAAACACAACTACTCCCTTTACTAAGGAACCCTTGAAGAACCATCTTTAAGACTGTACACATACACATCCTTAGACTACAGTAAGCACAGCTGGCCCACAATACACGTTCCTATGTGGTCTAAATCAAACTTATTAGGTCTACAAACACATTTCTGACCCAGGCTGCTTACTTACACCTGATCCCAGCATCAACGCATGCATATGTAAAGGAAAATACAACTGAAGGAAAAGAAGAAGAAAGCAAACGTCCAGTTTGCGTCTGAAGGCATGGACCCACCTTTCCTGTGCGTAGCTCCGCCTCCAGACCGCCGTGATTTTGCATAGTCCCGCCTCCAAGCGTGACGCTTATGAATAAGTCATGAGCAGACAGAGAGCGAGCTCGACGGGACGGAGGAAAACACACACAGAAATAATAAATCAAAAATGTCTATCAGGGCTGGTTCCTCGGAAACAGCCTACCCGCCTTCTCTTAGAGATAACATGTAGCTGTCCGTACCGCAAAGGAAAAAACAAACAAACAAAAAACAAACAACAACAAAAAAAGGAAAACAAAAACAACACCAGCCGCGTCAGTCCAGCAACTGTCGCCTTGGCAGCGCTGGCAGTTTCTCACCTTAGCAACCGTCACTCAGTTAGCCAGCACAGCTGCAAAAACAATAAGACCAGCCCTCAAAAATACACATAAACCCTGCTCGAATCTAAAATTAAACAGATTTAGGGAGTCTGTGGATCTGTGTGAAGACGTGAGGAAGTTAATAATGTTTTGTTTTCTTTTTAAACTCGTTTCCCGCTCGCGCCACACAACTTTCCACTCATCTGCAGAACCTCGCTTTGGCGAAAGGCGCTTTCTCGCCTTATATAGTCCCGAAGCCCGGGCGACGTCATGACGAGCAACTGAACCAGCCAATCGTCTGCTAGACAGCGCCTAACGTGCGTGGTGCCGACCAATGCGAGGCCGCTTGGGGCGGGACTAGCCTACTTTTCATACTCTAGGAGTCCGACTGGACGCCTGAACGAAACCGCTGAGGAACCGCCAGAAAATGAAAACGTACATTTTAACTCGCTGCCAACGTGCCGGACGCGTTTAGTGTGATTATTAAGTCGCGAATTTGTAATAACGTTTGCCTGCTTTTGGATCATTTCGCGCTTCTTCGCAGGCAACGAATGATCCAACTAAGTTAAGCTTCCACTCACCAAGCGAGCAAATACTGAGTTTTTACGCACACAAACGTGGTTTAAATGACATTTATAATACAAAGCCTTTGTTTACTACTCAAACAGTCACCGGATTATGCTTGAAGTTACTCGTATAAACAAGAAATATGATCAAATCGTGAACGTGTTCGGTTCCCGCCCCCATTGCATAGCGTGTAGAGAGACTTATGGGAAATGTAGTTTTAGTTCCGCAGCATGGTTGTTCGCCTTCTGATGCCTTTCTACTCGCACTAAAACGGTCGTTTAACCCGTAATTTCAGCAGGAAGCTTGGTTAAAGCGTCGTGAATGTGCCTGATGTTTTGATGTCCACCTACAAACGAACATTAGCAGGCCCAGGATGACCACGTTTACTGCAAGAGTCCAAGTGCTCTAATTAGAATCTAATTTTAACTAGCCTACTGTTGTCTGATGTCACACACTGGCCTACTGAAATAGAATTGAAACATTTCTCTCCAACAATAAACAGCCTAAACATAGAGCTGTGGGTTTAATGATGTGTTGGTCATTGCGAGGCTTTTCTGTGCAGGCTTTGGCTAACTAAAGGGGTCATAGCGTAGGCCCAACAGTTATGGCTTGCTGACTAAATCATTGATGAATGTAATTATGAAGCTTATTCAAGAATTTCAGGCCTTCTGCTGCTAAAACTGAACGACATATCCCTCGGTTCATATCCACTGGTTCATAATAGACCATTAGAACCAACAGGATTAAAACCTGAGGGTTTTGCTTTCTAACTTGGCTTAATGGTAACCTTTAGAGTCGACTAACTTCCTGCAGGACACCTTTAGATGCCTTTAGGAGACCACCAAATGCATCTGGAATCAGTCCCAGGACACCTGTTAAATCATTGGAGTCCTTTACAGTGTAAGATCAACCCAACAGGAAAACTCAAGATGCCACTTCTGACCACTGGACACCACTAGGAACCAGCAGGAACTTTGAATGTTTTCCGTGATTTATTCAGAAGGGATACTGCTACTGTTGGCCTTGCTGTAGATGGCTTATTCAAATGATTGTCCTGGTTTCTTTACAGAGATTCGTGTTATTTATTATTTCTGTTACACACCTACATACAGTTCAACCAGTCAAAAGACCAGTAACAACACAAAGTTCCATCCAAACAGGAACATTAAGAGCTATGGGAGGGTATTATTGCAGTTTTACAGTACATTGTATGTGCACATTCTACCAGTGCTTCCCATTTCTATATATAGCCATTTCCTCCAAAGATGCAAAGTAGGAACTTCCTCTGTGCTTCCTTAAACCTAAATATTATTACAGTATCACAGTGTTGTTGATTTTTCAGTGCGTTTAAAGAGAGTAGCTACCTCAAAAGTATTGAAAAGGGCATTAAAAGGTGTGGCAAGTCTGTAAACTTGCCTGAGCATGCCCTTATTCTTTATAATCAGAAGGGAAACTACAGTAGCACAATATGTCCACCAGGGGGAGGTAAAGGTCTTTATTTTGTTGCTGTAAAGCCCCAAACAGGAATTGCTTAGGTGGGATTGGTCGGCACATGTGCCAGCCTGTACAGGTGTAGCGCTGCTGCAACGAACCTACACCGATCAGCCATAACGTTAAAACTACCTCTTTGTTTCTACACTGACTGTCCATTTTATCAGCTCCACTGACCATATAGGAGCACTTTGTAGTTCTACAGTTACAGACTGTAGTCCATCTGTTTCTCTGCATACTTTGTTAGCCCCCTTTTACCCTGTTCTTCAGTGGTCAGGACCCCCATGGACCCTCACCGAGCACGTAATATTGGGGTGGTGGGTCATTCTCAGCACTGCAGTAACACTGACGTGGTGGTGGTGTGTTAGTGCGTGTTGCGCTGGTGCGAGTGGATCAGACACAGCAGTGCTGCTGGAGTTTTTAAATACTGTGTCCACTCACTGTCCACTCTATTAGACACTCCTACCTTGTCAGTCCACCTTGTAGATGTAAAGTCAGAGACGATAGCTCATCTGCTGCTGCACTGTTGGTCATCCTCTAGTCCTTCATCAGTGGTCACAGGACGCTGCCCACAGGACGCTGTTGGCTGGATATTTTTGGTTGGTGGACTATTCTCAGTCCAGCAGTGACACTGAGGTGTTTAAGAACTCCAGCAGCACTGCTGTGTCTGATCCACTCAGACCAGCGCAACACACACTAACACACCACCACCACGTCAGTGTTACTGCAATGCTGAGAATGATCCACCACCCCAATAGTACCTGCTCTGTGGGGGTCCATGGGGGTCCTGACCACTGAAGAACAAGGTAAAAGGGGGCTAACAAAGTATGCAGAGAAACAGATGGACTACAGTCTGTAACTGTAGAAACAAGGAGGTGGTTTTAATGTTATGGCTGATCAGTGTAAATTGTAATATACACTGCATATATGCTAAATGAAATTCTACCACAATGCAGTACTGTACTGTATCACTGCTCAGATTAAATTTACATTAAATCTGTAGTTGTTCTTCTAATCTATATTAAAGAGCTCTTAGAAAATTGAGTGAAAGTCTTTAAACTTGCCTCAGAGTTCTTTAACTCTTTATAATCAGAAGAGAAACAATTACAGTTGCCCAATTTGGCCACTAGAGGGAGATAGCGCTCTATATTTCGATATACACCGATCAGGCATAACATTCTGACCACCTCCTTGTTTCTATGCTCATTGTCCATTTTATCAGCTCCACTTACTATATAGGTGCACTTTGTAGTTCTACAGTTACAGACTGTAGTCCATCTGTTTCTCTGATACTTTGTTAGCCCCCTTTTACCCTGTTCTTCAGTGGTCAGGACCCCATGGACCCTCACAGAGCAGGTACTATTTGGGTGGTGGATCATTCTCAGCACTGCAGTAACACTGACATGGTGGTGGTGTGTTAGTGTGTGTTGTGCTGGTGCGAGTGGATCAGACACAGCAGTGCTGCTGGAGTTCAGTGACACCTCAGTGTCACTGCTGGACTGAGAATAGTCCACCAACCAAAAATATCCAGACAGCAGCGTCCTGTGGGCAGCGTCCTGTGACCACTGATGAAGGACGAGAGGATGACCAACACAAACTGTGCAGCAGCAGATGAGCTATCGTCTCTGACTTTACATCTACAAGGTGGACTGACCAGGTAGGAGTGTCTAATAGAGTGGACAGTGTTTTTTACACAAGTCATGAACGCACTAACTCCAAGACTGTAAGTTGTTTGTTTTTTTTTTTTAGCTGTTTATGTTTCATTTACTGCTGGTTGAGTTATCCTAATGTACAGTATGCCTGCGATATACAGCAGAGAGTGAAACCTGTGCTAAATAGCCCCACTCTCCCCTACCACAAGTCTGAATTAACTAATTAACCTTTTAAACTCCTTGAGACCACCGGTGGTTCCAAAACGCACTTCGTCATATTCTTCATAACTTTCATATTTCATAAGCTACATTCTAAAGGTGGGGGTTGTATGAGAGCTGTAACTGTCTTCTCTCCAGTCAAATAGATGGGTGACGTAACTTTAAACCCTTATAATAAAAGAAGCTGAACTCATTTTTTTTTTTGTCTACTGAAAGTCGACCCATTTTTCCACAAATCTGGGCTATAAATTATAAACAGATGGCGTCTCTTCAGTGATCTGATCTGTAAACATTATTTTTATAAAATAATACAAAGAGCGTCTAAGATTTTTGGCTTTCAGCAGTAAATGGTAAGCATATAGCAATATGTGTAGATCATAAAACACGTTCTGTTAATTTGAGGGAGATCTTACAAAAAATAAATAAATAAATAAAAAATTTACATTTATTTCATGCAGTTACTGAATGATTTGCCTTATGATTTGGTCGTGTAAATTCAGATGGACAAACCAAAATACGCCCATGAGCATAAGAGAAATTTAATCCAGTTCAACTCAGTGTAACCCAGTGTTCAGCCTAACTTAATTCATGATCAATAAAGCCCTGCACTGAGCCTAAAGTTCTCTCCCTCATGGCTCTCCACCAGGGGGAGGTAGCTTTACTGATAGTCAACAGCACTGAAACCTGTAGTCAGCTATGAATGGAGCTCAAGTTTGGTTTAAGCTTGTGAACCCGTGACTCCAGCTTCGTAATTTACCCAGAGCTTCTGACCAGAGAACGTTCATCCAATTATTTCTGAAGAAAAACAAAAACAAACTCAAGCCATAAACCGTAACAAAATTAGAGCTTTATTAAGTGTAAAATGTACAATTAATTTACAACGCTGTACACGGACAGAAAAAAATAAATATATTTACATGGTTTCTTTATAATATAAAGGGAAAAGGCAGAACAGGTAGATAAAGTCAGGACAGTACAGAGAAATATTGACAGTGAGGATAGTTTCTATGACAACAATATCTGAAAAACATATGTTTATAACAGCTTGTCTTATTAGAGAAGTGACATCCTCAGGTCGCGTGACGTTGGGAGAGCTGGCCTGTGAGGTATGTGGTTCCTTCTCGCCTCATTTCAGAGCTGCCATAGTAACACACCTTTATTCTCAGCCACATTCAGAGGCGCTGAATGAGTCAGGGGGGCCAAGGTTAGCTAGATAGGGGGCTTAATGACCCCGTAGCCCTGACTTCAACCCATCACTTTCATACATAACATATATTAGTTTCACAGTGGAAACGGAATAATTTATAGTACTGTTACCAGATAATATGTCTTATAAATAGCTGTATTAAAGCCTGAGGTTTAAAGGGGTAACTAACGTTATGCCGTAGTACTTTGTAGGCTTTTCTCAGGGTTCTCTGGGATTTCCAGTCCTGGACCTTTACGTAAATGTGACCTCCAGTCCTTTTCTCTTGGAATGCCAAAGCCAAAAGCCCAAGCCATGACCTCTGAGACCCTGAGGCCACACCTACAGCAGTGTGACCTTTTGACTGCAGAGTCCCCAACACTCCGGGTCTTAACTACCAGTATAACTGGTTATTCAGTGTTCACCATGGCCTCCAGATGTTCTGCTGCTGGTTCTGAAACAAGGCTCTCCTCAGAGTCCTCTGGGGGTGACAGGAGGGGGGTGTTGGAACTGCCGGCCGGAGCGGCGTTGGAGGTCTGGCCTTGACCGGAGGTTGGGGGGCCGCTACCACGGTAACCACTGGAGTGGAAGTGGCGAAAGACGAGGAGGACGAGGAGTCAGAAGACAGAGGGGATACGGACGGAGGGAATGGGAAGTGGCAGGGAACAGAGAGGTACGTGGGGGAGGTGGTGAAGGGCGGGGAGGCGCTGGAGTAGCAGGGGGAGGGCGGAGGAGAGAGGGAGTATGGAGGAGAAGAGTAAGGGTGAGTTAAAGCCTGTCCCGAAGCATGAGGGTGATGGAGAACGAAGGATTTGGGATACAGTTGGTGGTTGTTGGTGTAGGAGAACGGTTCTGAGGTTCCGGAGGCCCAGGGGTGGCTGGGAATGCGGACGGAATGCGAATCCAGATGGTGCCGGAGGCCCTGGATGAAGTGTTCTCTCTGTGACGGCTCCACGCAATCGACGAAGCTGGCCAAACGCGAGATGCACTCCTGGAAGCCGGCTGTGTAGAGCGGGTTGCTGGCCTGGTGCTGGGTGGGGTCGTGGAGGGAGATGCAAGGCAGGCGGGGTTTCCTGGCGGTCAGCGCAGCTGCTACAGTGTCCGACGACTCCTTCTTGAAATCTGCAGGGTGAGGAGAGAAGGAGAAAGAGGGCACAAAGCCGGAGAGAGGAATCACAGGGAAAGTGGAAAGGTGGAAAAGTGAAGCATGAGGAGGAAAGAAAAAGATGAGAGGAATGAAAGTGTTATGAATTAAAAGTGGTGAAAATTAGATTAGAGGCAGATTAATAAGTGTCATTGTAGTTATTGGGGGTAGATATTTGCATAGTTGTTAGAGGGGAAGACAGAAGGACAACAAGCAAATGAATGAAGGACAGTGGGAGTTTTAGGAGGTTTAGAAAGAGAGAGAATTTATTTAGGGAGAAGAAGAGCAAGAAAGACAAAGAAGTTGAATGAGAGAAGAGAAGAGAAGAGAAGAGAAGAGAAGGGAAGATGAATTAGAATGATTCATACCACATGACTTCTATTAGAAGCAGACCACCTTCATAAACAGCATTTTGGCTTCCAAACATCAAAAATCAAACATTTTCTGAAAACATTAGATCTCTAACAGATCTCTTCTGATTAGATCTCTTCTGTTTAGTTTGGTTCCATGAGGAACCAAAGAGAAGAACCCTCATTGGAGACCCTTGGCCAGTCCATATTTTACTCTGTTCCAACTCAACTTAGGCATATCAGAGTTCTGGTTTAAATGTACAAGGTGCCAGGACAGAACATTACCCCGCTCTAGCTGAGGGTCCACATGGAGCCGGACTGAAGACCTCTAAGGAGATCCCACAAAACTGACCTCCTACATGGACCAGCGGGCTGTTAATTGGCCCATGTGGGCACAGCTTCAACTAGAAACAGCATGGTGGCCCAAGAGTGAAGAAAATGTGGACAAATGGTCCAGTTTGGCCACAAAACGTCTTGTCCTAAACGTAGGAGCTCCGTTTTAAGATCTTTGGCCCACATTTGGAGAAACGGTAATCTTACCTTTGCTTTCTTCCGTTTTCCTCCTGATGTACTCGACAGTGAGCTCCAGGATCTCCGCTTTCTCCAGTTTGGGGTTCTGGAGTCTCTGTAGAAAAAGCAAGATTGTTAATTCATGGTTCAAACAGGATGGGTCAAAGCTAAACATACACTATATAGAACCACGAGTTCTATACAGAATCATTTGCTTAAAGGGTTCTTTGCAAGCTGAAATGGTTCTATATAGCATCAAAAAGAGAACGTCTATTGTTTTAAGCTTGACATTGTAACAATAGAAGAACTATTTTTGGTTTTATAAAGAACTTTATTATAAAGACTGTAAGTAGAACCATATACAGCACATGTCCCATCGATCTCACCGTGCAAAGAACCATTTAAGCACGAAATGGTTCTAAATAGAAGTCACTGTTCTAAACAGAACCACTCCCTTTACCACAGAACCCTTGAACTTCTTTAACAGTAGCACTGATCGGTTCGCCCGTGGAGAAGTTCGCGCTAAGCTTGCAGGTGAAAATGAGCTCTAAACTGCCGCCGTGTTGGATTTGACGATCTTGGAATCAGTTAAATAATTCGGTTCAGATTCATTCATTTACCGTGTCCAGCGTGTTGTCCAGCAGAAGCGTCCGCAGCTCGTCTAATCTCTGGTTGATGCGGTCTCTCCTCTTTTTCTCAATCACTGGCTTTAAAATCTGCAAAAGTGAAACAAAAAGCAGTTATTAATTTTTCACATTTACGTTGCCGTATGCGTCATCAACACGTGCGAACGTGCAATATGTTTACAAACTCGAATTCTTTTCATGAGGGTTATATTTAAAAAACGCAGAAAAAATTTGTTGTATGGCTGAATTGGACCAAGAAGGAAAGCCTCTGTAAAGGTTTGTGTACAGGAATTGAAGGAAAAAGCACTAAAAATAAAACTGAATTGAATTAAACTGATATACACATTTATATGAATTGTTATTTTTCCTCATTTTACTCATTCCTTCCTCATTTTCACTGTAAAAAAAACAACAACTTTAAAACATCAAGTTCTGAGGGATGACTGTGTTTTACATTTGTTAACTTATGATTTGAATGTTTATTTTTCAGTGAACTCGAATTTCAAGTTAACCCAGTTACTTTTTTTTTATTTTAAAGCACAATTTTTCACTACTTCTGTGAATATTTACATTCATTTTGAAAGTAGTTTTACACAAAAATCTGTGGACTGTTGAATAAACAGCCAAGACAAAATGCAAAAAATTTGCCCAGTTTTTTTTTTTAGTAACTTTTTGACTTTTTTAAGTGACTTTTAAGTGAAAAAAACAATAATTACTCACTCTTTTGGATGCTCTGCGGTTTGGCATTTTTGGAGGCCCCATGTTAAATATCCTGTCCTCGAGGCAGCAGCAGGACTGAGGAGCAAAAACCAAAAATTAGAGCAAAAATTTAAAAAAAAGTTTTAGCTTTTAGCAGAAGCTCAGCTGAGGTTTGTTCTCTGTAGTTCTCTGTGGAAAAAAGCTGTGATGGTGCTGCTCTTATTTATAGGTCCTGGGTTTGGGGGGAGGGCTAGGGGGTGGGCGTCAATGACACACCTCCAAACATTCAGCCCCCCCAACCCCCCAACACCCCCCCAACGCCCCCCCTCACCACAGTCCATCTCATAATATCCAAGATAAGAAACCTATAAACCAATCATTCCCCCCAAATCTGAAACTGCTACTGTAGACTTTTAAACTGAACTGCAGTCAACAGACTGGAGGAGGCCAATGGAAGCTCAATAGCTGGATTGATCTGAAATACTCTTCAAAAGGAGGGTTCTTCAAGGGTTCTTGAGTAAAGGCGGTAGTTCTATATGAAACCATGAACATATTCATATGCTTAGATGTTTTTTTTGCGTGGTGAAATGGGTCTACAGATTGGTTGTATATGGTCCTATATAGCACCAAAAAGGGTTCTTTTGCTAGCTATATAGAACCACGTACAACATTCTCCGTCAGTCTGAAGATCCATTTCACCAAGAGGAGAACCATTTAAGCATGCAATAATTTTAAAAAGCAGGGTTTCATATAGAACCGCTGTCTTTAATCTCGAGGAACTCTTGAAGAACCATCTGTTTTAAGATGTATGGAATGTAAACGAACCTGAATAAAGAGGAAAAGTTATGAGAACCAAAAATGAAGCCTAATTAGTGTATTTTTACAGTGGTTTATAAATGCAAATACGGCAGATACAGCAAATACCAGACGAGAAATGCAGTGTTGCTGGACTTTGAGGACTTTCTCATGGAAGTTATAAAGTAAACAAGTCATAAATAGGCTAATTTTAAGCTATGCCATTATAACCTCAGGCCAACCCCCACCCACCCCCACCCCATTTACCCCCTTATCCACCCCCCCCCCACACACCCCACTTACCCCCTTAACCACCCCCCCTCCCAACCTGGGGCTGCTCTGGGTTATTGGTGATTAGCTGAAGGCTGTATGTGGTGATGATTGGTGTCTTTATGGTCCAGTTTGTGCTGGTTTATTACAGTTTGTTAACCTGGAGGGTCTGAACCCTTCACACCAAACTCCTGCATGGGGTCATGACCTCCAGGTCATAGCAGATCAGATGAATTTGAAAATGTAGTATTATTATATTATTAATATGATTATTATTATTAGTAGTAGCACTAGTAGTGGTTGATTTATAGTAAGAAGAATATAGAAAGGTGGGGGACCACAGCCTTCATCTGCACACCACTACTGAAAATAAAACAGTTTGGATAAAATTACATACTACTAAAATAAACACTTAATACTGCAGTCATTTTTAATGAGTATTATAATGGCACAACACTCAACACTCTCAGACATAAAGGTACTAAACTGTCACTGGGTCAGTGCCCCTCCTGTCATTGGGGTGGAACCCTCAAGGGTTCATCTCAGTACCTTCAGTCAGGGAACATAACTGAACCATAATCCACTGAAATGATATGTTCTAAGCTGTACTGACTCCACACACCCCGTCTCGTCTCCAGGCTTTTATTTTACTGTTCTGTTTAAAACATTCGGTTATGAAAAGGTACAAATACGAACTTTTCACCTGGAAAAACTTATTTAAGGTTCACAATCAGACCTTAAAACCACTGTTGGAGCTTTGAGGGAACATTTACACTGTTTGTACCTTAATGATCCTGCACAGAACCTTTATTTCTAACAGTGAATGTCAAAAGTTTATAATAAGCCCAGTAACACCATATCACTCATTATTAATGCTCTGCATTGTATACAGTAGGTTTTTATGATGCTGTAATTTTCACTAAGTGTCTACAGAAGAGCTTCGTTCTGTAGTGTTTGTGTTATTTACTGTCTCTCCACAGTAACATGGGAGAAGGTTTCTCGTGGGAAATGAATACCAGTGCAGCCTCCGATGTGTAAGAATGAACACACTCACACGCCGACGCGTGAGACCCAAAGCGCTCACGCCTCTGCGTGAGCCGGTAAGAGTGAATACACAATGAGCTTGGAGAAAGAAAACACATCACCATAAAAAACTCCAGCAGTATAAGTGAGACAATCTGAACCAACTCACATTAGTCGACACTACACTCTCAAAAAAGATGGTTCTTCAAGGGTTCTTTGCATGGTGAAGTGATTCTTCAGATTGATGGAGAATGTGTTATATATGGTTCTATGTAGCACCAAAAAGGGTTCTGCTATTGTGATGATGCCAAGCTTGTAACAGTAGAAGAACCCTTTTACCTCTTTACTAAAGATGTCATGCAAACTTATTGCCTTGAAGTAAAGTTAGTGAACAGGTTGAAGCTTAACTAACCCCACACTGTTAGAAATAAAGGTTCTGTTCAGGTACATTTTTGTTCATCAAGGTACAAACAGTGTAAATGTTCCCTCAAAGCTCCAACAGTGGTTTTAAGGTCTGATTGTGAACCTTAAATAAGTTTCTCCAGGTGAAAAGTTCATATTTGTACCTTTTCATAACCGAATGTTTTAAACAGAACAGTAAAATAAAAGCCTGGAGACGAGACGGGGTGTGTGGAGTCAGTACAGCTTAGAACATATCATTTCAGTGGATTATGGTTCAGTTATGTTCCCTGACTAAAGGTACTGAGATGGACCCTTGAGGGAACCACCCCAGTGACAACAGGGGCACTGACCCAGAGACACTTTACTTCCTTAGATTCTGAGAGTGTATATGTGAGTTATAGATACTACAGATTTCTAATGTTCAGTGATCTCGGACGGAGCTGGTCTGGTGCAACTTCACTGCCCCGCAAGGTGCTTGGTGACAGCAAGCACTGTAGAAAGGAGTAAAACCAGCAACACTTGATGACTGGAGAACTCCACACTTTGTCTGATATCTGAATGATGATTGCGTTGTTGTTTAAATACACAAAGAACAGGAAATACAATTTAAAAACTTAAAAACAACCAATAAAATGGCTGAAACACCCATATTCCCATCAGAACAAAGGAAGTTACAGAGCTGAACAATAGGCAGCTCACACACCTCAAATGAACAGTTTTCAGGTTTTTCTTAATTCTAACAAACATCCAAAATAAAAGAGAACTTTTAAGATGGTCAGTGAGTCAGATTAACCCAAACAGCCCAGTCAGTGTACATGGTCTCCACTGAGCTGCAGGCTCTACTTTTAAAAGCTCTGCTTTAGTTATTCAGGTTAACTTGAATCAAACACTTGCCTTTCCGTAATGTACCAGCATCAAAACAACTACACTATATTAAATTGAGTGTTTTGTGCAGTCATGAATTAATGCCTTATATAGGACTAGAATAACTCATTATCTGAGACTCTAATAGCTTAATGCATGTTTGCTGTCCTGTCAGCATAGAACTTAGAACCGATGAACCTAAACACTAAACACCATCATACTGAGACTAACAACAACATGTAAAATGCATCCATGCTTTACAGTTAATATCATATGTTCTGGCACAAAAATAACACTTTGAAATATTTATTGATATTCGTAAATTAGAACAATAACAGAAACCAGCAAAACCAATAAGAATGCTGGGAAGCTTTTTGGGCAAAAGACTCCAGTCTGTAGGATTACAAATAAACTGATCTTAACTAGACAACTACACACTTAAAAAGGTTCTTCAAGTGTTCTTTAATAAAGAAGATGGTTCTATATAGAACCATGAACACTCAAAGAACCCTTTGGATCGATTAAAGGATTCTTTGCATCGTGAAAGTGTTCTTCAGATTGCAGGTTGCGGAGTGCTGTAGATGTTTGAAAATGGTTCTATAAAGCACCAAAAATGGTTCTGCTGACATTGTAACAAAAGCAGAACCCTTTTTGGAGCATATCCAACACGTTGTCCATCAATCTGAAGAACCGTCTCACCATGCAGAGAACCATTCAATCATATAAAGGGTTCTTGGACCATTCTTGGTTCTATATAAAACCATTTTCTTTACTAAAGAACCCTTGGAGAACCATCTTTTTTACCTACCTCAGTAACTAAGGATTGTACAAGAAATAATATGTGTTACTAGATTTGTATCCCTTTATCAAATTGAGTTGCAATTGTTATGTTTTAGGGAATCTAAGTGAACTTCAGTTCAAGAATCAGATTCACCCAGTTTAAATTCTGCACATTAGTGCATTTTGGGCTGTAGTTTGTGTTTCTGAAACTCATTCAGCTGCTTCCTTCAGACTGCTGAACCTTCTTCACTCACCTGTTGAGTCCTAAACTCACCGCACACTCAAAAGTGAACCAGCTATAATCCCAAAAATACACACTTATCAATCCCTGATAGATGTTTGTCCAGACCTGTCCAGAAACCATTCACGAGCTAACTATGCTAAGCCCACTTTGATTCATCATATGGCGATTAAACGTGTTTACACTGTAAAGAAAATATCTCACTGTAAAATTACTGGTTGAATTTACAATTATTTACAGTAATTTTACTGTAGCATGTTAACAGTAAAATAGCATGTTTGTACTGCATGACTTTGTACTGTAGAATTAATGCATCTCAGTAGCTCATAATTTATTGCCTTTTATTTTGACATTTTAATTCATTTAAATTGTAATTTAATTATTTTAATTATATATTTTTTTACTTTTATGAAAATACTTTTAATCATACTTTAATAATTTAACACACTTTACTAAGTATAATACATAATATATAACATAAAACATTAAATTTCATATTCATTGTACTTTAATTCTACTTTTTATCCTACTGATACACATGTTCTTTTAATAAACAATACAAATAGACTTCAATGAAGATATTCAGTATCTGAAATTTGCTGTGTTCTTACAGAAAATATCTTCAGGTGAGCTGATTTCAGAATGAATACAGTTTTATGCAAGGCACAATGAAAACACCCTTAATGAT